GATGAAGCTTGCACTTTGAAGGTATAGGATCCTTTTCTACCACCCTCTTTTATAAATAGGCTAGCCGGTAGATGTGGCAGCAGAGGTTCTTCTATTGCCTATTACCAATGGATGACTCTTCATAAGATACAGTAGTATAGATGTCTAATACAAATTGGTGGATAATGGAACTGAAGGTAAAAAACACTAACGGGGCAATACACTACAATACACAGTTTTTTCCAGTGAAGAGCTTGAACATTACTAATGGCAACATATTTGTCTATTGCACTAGTTCTTGATGGAAACTGTTAGAATCCTGCAGAGTTTTGACCTTGCCACTTGGGATTTCACTGCCCCACCTATGGGTGTTACATCTCATGGTTTTATAGTGATCACCAGCTACTCCTTTCTTCTCACTGCCATAAAAAGTAAAGCCCATCAGAGCAGAAGACACTTCTGAAATCTCAGTTTCACTAAGGCCATTTGGTGGTCTTCAACCAAGTTTCCAGATACACTGCATTCAGTGGGCACAGTTTGCTGGCCAGAGTCTCTCAGTGGGATTGTCTCTTCCCCACAGTCGTTAACTGGATGATGCCGTTAATGACCAGCGCTCTCTTGCTGAAGCCACCACTAAATCTGTCTTGCTCCACTATCAGATCACTGCCCAGTTTTTATTCCCAGAACCTCTATTGTGACAAGCAGTTGCTCCACATTAGGAGTGTTGCACAGTCACAGCATATCCTGCATAAGATCACACTGCTCAGGCTAATTTTGTTCCCAGGACCGACAACTGCACTTTTGATGACGATCATGCCTATGCTGATAGAAGCTTCCTTAAAAGGGTAACCTGTACAACAACCTGCACCATATCAGCCCAGGCCTTTTTTACATAGCTCTTTGTCCATCGCTGCTCAGCAGTGGTCAGTTTACCGGCCTTCTTTACTATCTGTGATTTCTTTACAAATGGCTATTTCGGTGCAAAATCAGCTCTGAAATAGCTCTCCATAATGGTTATCTCTCGTGACTTGATATCAAGTAGGAATTTCATCAAATCCCCCTACTATGGGGGTTCACATAAAGTGACCTGCAGTGCCATGTTCTTTAAATGCTTGATGTGTAGGTGCCACCTTTTTCTTGTTCCAACTCAAGCTTTGCCCATCTATTATAGCTGTAGGAAGGTTCTTCTTCATGGCCTAGAAGCTCCTTAGGCTTAGCACAAAATGATTCTTCAGCCAGGCCTTGGGGCTGGCTATCATCCGAGGGCCCATTGCATCTTTTCTCAGAACAAGAAGAGATCTTGCCGTACATTTGCACATTTGCAAACTAGGGTACAGGTTCTCCTTCCCGTAACAATATGCGAATCTCTAAAACAGATGGTGATGGAGGTGGTATGCTGGATGTCTTCACTGCTCCCATTGTCCTATTCATCATGCAAAAACAATCTGACCAAAGTTCTGACACATCTCCAATTTGTTCAAAACCAAAACAAAATTATTGGCTGCAATTCCACTTTTTGAAAAAACTGGGAAAAGGGAAAGTGTCCAATCCAATGGTTGCTTTGATTTTTCACATCTGCTCTGGAAAGGAGCTGGAATCTATCTATAACAGCATAGATTTTCTTTTTCTCCAATATAAATCTGTCCAGTTGTATTTAAGTAGCACTATTAACATTACACTTGTGACAACGGGCACGATATGCATGCATATGCATAAACATCCTCACGTGTGATAAGCAAGCAGACACAATGGTATACACTCTGAATAACATGGAATCATCGTGGCCATGCCAGCAGAATGCATTGCCAAGTGTTTACTAGTGCCATGCCATGTTATTCTTACAGCCTGTTGCAGATGGTAGATATCTGCCTTCCAAGTTACAGATGGAAGATATCAGTCCTCTACTTCTAAAACATTGCAGAGAATAATAATATGTATTAATTACTGCATGAACATTGATTGTGTTTAGATTTTCTGCTCGTTGCTGAAAAATTACATTTGTCGTTGGATGAAATAATTAATGGGTATAATCAGCACATGTTTAAGGCAGCGTGACTACTGCACAATACGCAGGATTTCTTTTCATATGTGTTTTATGCTTTAATTGAAAAGACCTTTATTTAACATATCTAATAGTTTTATAAAAACAGGGGTCTCATTTGCATGGATTTGGAAATATGTGTAGGGGGGGTCACAAAAACGGGCTCTTCAGTTGTGGATTCATTTGAATACAAACATTGGAGGTATACAGTATGGAACAAGGACTTCACTTTCATAGGTCTACTTGTTTGTTTGATTTTATTAAACTGTTAGCTACAGAATCTAATTAGGTCCATTTTGCTGGCTGGCTGAGCTAAGTACTGGGGAATATTCATTTACATCAAAGTCATGTAGCAATTGTTGTTCTCCAGATGCTATGGGAGTGGTATCACTATTCACCCCATAAAAAAAGTTTTGGTAATGTTAGTATGGTGGGGGTGATAATGCAACTGTACAGTAGTTTATACCAATATTAGAAGTCAATGAGGAGGAACGTGAGCCTAAATAAAATCACACGACCGCAGTTCACATCAACTTGCCATAAACCGCTACATAGTGGTGTGCTATTTTGGATAATACGTGGCTTTAACCCTTTTGCTGCCAAAGCTGTTTTTACTAATTTTTGCACACATGGTATAATCTAGGGATGCACCGATACTAGTATCGGTATCAGTGCCAATGCCGAGTACACGTACTCTCCCAAATGCTCCGATGCCTAGCCCGATAGTAAAGCTTCCAGTATCAGGAAGCCCGGCGACGCTGTCCAGCTTCCTGATTGGCCGGGAAGCCGGCTCCATGCTCCCTCGTCACAGTGATGAGGGAGCATGGAGCAAGCTTATTGGGCAATCAGGAAGACAGGCAGCGTGTAATGATGTGCTGTCCGGCCTCCTGATTGGTCGGGAGGCTGGCCAATCAGGAAGCCGGACAGTGAGTTATTACATGCTTCAGCTTCGGGCTCATCAGGAAGCCAGGTGGCGAGTCATTACACGCTGCTTGGCTTCCTTAATTGAACTTCCGGTATTGGTATTCGGTATCGGCAAATACAGAAAAAATATATTGGTACTCGATGTCAAAAAAACGGTATTGGTGCATGCCTATTATAATCCACATTTAAGGCCTGACAATTATTTAAACCCCCCAGAATTATTTATTAATGATATTAGCGCAACTATTTTATCAAATTCAAACTTTCAGTAAAAAATACACTTAAGTTCAATTTAATGCACAAAACCACAATATAATACCCATCCCAACATATAAATGATGAGGCTATGCCAAATAAATAGATACCCAACATGCCAAGCTAAAAAATTGCATGCGCCTATGAAGCGTCAAAAAACGATGGTATCACAAATGGTTCATAGGTGACGCTTTTAAAAACCTTTACTGTTCATGAATTTAGAGTTAACCATGCATATTGGCTCTAGAATTATTGCTCTCACTCAGGTGTATGCAGCGATACCTAACATATAGCACAATTGTTGTTTTTGTACACCCAAAGCATGTATACGTTAGTATGTGTGTGGACAGGGGGGACATTTCTGGGGTGTTTTTCAATGTATTTTATTTTACTTAATTTTTTTTTTACTTTTTCTTTTTTTTTTTTACTTACTTTTATAACTATCACGTAGGGGGGCTCACAATCACCCTATGTAATAGCACATTGGAGATGACAGGTTCTTTTTAAGGTAACACTATTACTCTTAATGACACCTTTGCAGCTCATTGATGCTTCTCTAGCTGGAGAATGACAGCTCAGAAACCGGAAGTGTCGATTTTATTCAGTGGGGAGTCAGCGAATGGATGTTCAGTGGTTCCTCCCCCTACTACCCAACGACACCCACGATGCTGGGTCCGGGCCCGCAGGTGGGGCAGTGGAGCTGGGGAAGCAAGTCGAGGGGTGTCAGGAGGTGGGAGAAGGCACAGTTTATGGGCCCCGGAAGTGATCAGGTGGCTTTACAGCTGCCAGAATTGCTTCCAGTGTAAAGCCGGCAGTCAGCTTTACACAAGTTAACAGACTTCTGGTGGCTATAGCTGCCGGGAGTCCGTCTACAGGGGCCCGCTGCTGTCCATGTATGGCATATATATCGCAGGCAACGAAAGGATTAAAGCTGACCTTTGCACCTAAAATGCAAGGTCGGCTTATTTACCACAGTCCCTTTTCTTCCTATGCAAAAACACTGCATTGTGATTAAAAGATTAGAAAAACAGTTGGTTAAAAAAGTTAGGTAATATACTTACTTAACCTCTGCTTCCATGGCACCTAGGAGAGGATGACACCACCATCCTTCCCGCAAGATCCCTGGGAATGCTGAGTAGGCCAAATCTTGTGAGGAGATACTTTTGTACTGTGATGTAGTGTCATTTTGTGAGATTTTGGGTACTCGGCATTCCCTGTGATCTTGTCAGAAGGATGGTGTTGTCACCCTTCTGCAGTATGGAAGCTGGGAGAAAAGTAAGTATAGTATCTAACTTTTTCACACTACAAGTTTTATAGTAGTGCAAGGTCCACTTTAACTAAGCTCTGCACATCTTTATCAAAACAATGGCTACATTCCGACAAAAGCCATATGAAAGTGGGTGAGGTTTTTGTTTAGATGGGCGAGTAATGGGAAACCCAAGGTACATTATTTAGTGTGTGTGTATGTGTGTATATATATATCTGTGTGTATATGTGTGTGTGTATATATATATATATATATATATATA